AACTACCGATGTGTTATTGGTTTATGATTTCGAGTCTAGTGCTCACTAGTGACTGATTCTACAAGATAAAGGTGTCTGGAAGTCGTGATTACAAACTACGCGATGTGTGTGTGTGTGTGTGTGGGAGGGGGGGGGAATTCATCAAACCTGAAAAGAGGACAGATGCCCGCTAATGATATATTGGCTGACAGCCACGCTTTTTTTATAGCAAATTAGTAAAGCTCAGAATTCATGGGCCATCAGATGCCGCCCCAGTGGCTGAATAGTCAACCAATTTGTCTTGTAACCAAAACACACCGCGTTCAATCCCTAGTGGGTTAATGGGTGCGTATATTACTGAAGAGTGTTAAACGAGGACGAAACAACTGTTCAGTATTCCCAAATGTAAATGATTGTAAATACTTAAGCAAATGAACCATATTTACACTTTGAGCAAAACACATGAGTGTCAAATGGGGTGGAGTAGACACAAAAGCAGCAAGTAAAATAGGGAATCTAGTGACAATAACAAGGAAAGAGAGAATAAGATTTGCGACTACTTTACTTCAAAAACAAAAGAGAGGAAGGAGGCAAACCAAAAATACTGTTCGCATACATGACGACGTCAACAAAAGTGTGTAATAAAATTATTTTTTTTTATTCTTTCAGGTTCCCAGTGGAACATACGGCACCTTCAAGAGATAGGGGCTTGAAGTTTTGGTAACAGTGGTGTCTATTTTTATGAGATAGGGTTGCTAGTCTTATGACCAACCAATCCTACCTATTTACCAGGCTTCTTACTGGGCTTAGCGAATGTCAAAGGAGTGCGTCGGCCGAGGATCGAATCCCGAACCACATTCGTAGTTGGCGAGTATTCTGCCGTTGTGTCGCCAACGCACACACACACACAGAGAGGGTAGTGTGATAGTATACCGGAGATATGGAAAGTGGTAACAACCAACAAAGAGAAGTTGGAAAGACAGAAAGAGAGAAAATATACATATATAAGACAAATTGTGAAACTATGTGGGGCTTAACTGATATGATTTATGCTCAAAACCAACTTGTCATCCAGTTGTTAATACTGTATCATCACTGTGTGTGTGATAATTAAAATATAAACTTATCTAATATGGGAAATCGGAAAGGCAAGATATGCCTTCATCAACCTGAAATCAGTTCGGAAATCTTCCGCACTCAGCATAAGGAACAAGATTAGCATTTTTCAGTACCAATGTGAAGTCGATCACTGCTTCCTACTAGATGGGCCAGAAACCTGCACTGAGTGTCACGAAAAGCATTTCCAAAAAACCTGTTGCAGACTTTTATCAATAGCTGCCACCTCCGCTGGCTCCATAGTGAAGATCAAATGGCCGGCTGGTACCAAACCAACAAGCCGATCGCTCAACAAACATGTACGAGAAAATGGAGATGGATTGGGCATACACGTTGAGGAGACCATCAAATGACATCATGCGCAATACAGGCCACTGTTTGAGTGGAATCTAAATGGGTAACGACGAGTGGATCGTCAGTGCAAGGGTGACGTGGAGGAGATCGTGTGAGGAGGACGAGGAGGAGATGAGCGGAAGAGAACGACAGAAGATAGGACAGAGTGGAGATGTGTTGTTGAAGCCCGCCTATGTTCCACCCGGAATGTAGATCTATCTGTCTAGGAATATTCCAGCTCTAATAGAAAAAATAACATTCTAGGATTTAAATGGATTAATCGTCTTAATTTATTCTAAATAAAAATGAGAGTGATTCACATAATTAAACGACCCTAAACTTATAATCTTGTCAAACTAAAAAGCAAACCGAACAAGATGTGTTGTTTGAAATGTGGCTGGCATTCTACCATCTTGGGACTTCTACTCAGCTGCAGTAATTTGGAGACTACTTCAACACTATGAAGAAGTCCAGTCCCCCAAATCTTTATCAACCTCATTCAACAAATGGATGATCCAAAACGGAAAACTCAGAGAGAAGCATTTCAAGTGAATACAGGAGTGAGAAAAGCTGACTGCCTATTATTATCACCAGTGATAATTCCTGGACTGAATTCTGCGCGTCATACTGTGCACAGGAAGTGGAGAAGACAAGAACAAGTTGGACTGACCGAAAAGAAGACTCTCAAAGATCTGGATTTCGTCGTGGATGATTCGTCTAATGTCATAAGAAGTTGAAGACTTACAAGTAGAACCGGCAAACTATAGCTTAAGAAGAAACGAAGACGCGACTCCAGGTGAACATAGAGAAAACGGAGGTGATGAAGAAAACCAACCAACTGACAACAACAACAATAATAACAACCAGCACCGAACACCATCAACGAGAGAGATTTAACAAAGATTGCTTGAAGCAGTGCGTCGGCCGAGGATCGAATCCCGAAACATATACGTGGTCGGTGAGCACCTACCATTGTGCCACCGATTTGTGTAATACAATACCTGACAAATATATATTCCGAGGAGAGATTAACACAGATAAAACTAATATAAGATCGAGAAAGAAACCCAATCAACATTGAGAGGGAAAAAAACAAACAAAACTCAGGGCTAATCACTTCAAGAGACTTTTGAATCGACTATCACCGATAACTCGTCCAGAAATACGATCAACAACCACCACAGAAACTCTCAGTGAACCACCACCACCACCACCAATCTTCCTGCAAAAGCAGAAGTCTTCAATGCTGTGAAGTTATTGAAAGGCGGGAAAACAGTAGGATCAGATGGAATTCACCCACAACCACTGAATATGGACTTAGACACTTCATCAGATATACTAAAAACATTATTGCAGAAGGTTTTGGGGGGGGGAGGGAGAAAAGGAACCTAAGTTGTTGAACTCCTAAAGAAGGGCGATTTAAGCCTTTGCAAGAACTGGAGTGAAGTCATGCTCCTATCTATGCCGAACACAATATTGAGTCAGGCCATCTTGGAGTGATTGAAACCATGCAACGGATTCAGGAAAAGCATATCATGTACTGACCAAATCACCCAACAGAGGATAGAATACCAATCAAATGTCTACTTCAATTCTGTCGACTTTTAAAAGACTTTTTAAAAGATGACATTGACCACGAAGTAATTTGGCGAATGCTTCAACACTACGTAAACAGTTATATGCTGAGGATACATACTAAATGATACACAAAGGAAGGCTCTGCGAAGGGTTTGAAGTGAGGACAGGAGTAAAACGAAGTTGCTCTCTGGGTGGGATTCAAATGGGAAAAAATGAGTTCCGTTTGCGAGGATGATACAGGAAATGAACATTTATGAGCATTCAAAGAGATGACTAAAAAAAGATTGCAGAAAACAGTGTGAAGTCCGAAAGTCCACACGGAAACCCGGGCAGTAATAAGATAATATAATTCAGAACAGAAATCGACATGAAATCAGAATATCAGTGTTTAAGTACGCTTCACAGTAGAGTTCATCAAGTTTTCATATAACACTGTGTGATGATACTACGTGTTATTAAGCACCAAAATCTAGATATACAACTTTCTCAAAAATATCATCGACCATTCAACATCAAATCCAATCACACCACTGTGATAAGCCTTCCACCTTAGAGCTTGATGAACAACTAGATGATAGGCTAGTACTGTTGCGGTGACAGCTATCTGGTAGCCGAAATTGTAGACAGCAATTTACGTCAATGTTCACTTCCTGAATCGAGGTCATGAAAGGAGGAAAGAACAAAGCTTAACCTTGAGTAACTGGACAACCAATCACAGCAGACTCAACGTATGCAAATACAATTCGCAAATATATGGCCTGACTTTCCGAGAAACGGCCACAAATAGATGAGACAATAACCTCCAGCAAGAAGAGAACCAATCCAGAAGACGTTGCTTCTCTGCTAACAGCGCTAATAATACTGTACACAAAAATCTATAAATATCTGTTGATTTTCTCAATAAACGATCTATTGCCTGGCCCTCCTCTTCTGTTGTTACACTACTATTATCAGTAATAAGGACTATGGTGACATATCATATTAGTTGTATCTAAGTAAGGGATGCTTGGCTGTAAAGGGAATTCCGAGAAAATATATTGCACTGATTAAGGCACTCTACTCGTACTCATACAGCCAGGTGAGGGCTTACCGCGAGCTGTCATCTGAACTGATGACGACCAGTGGTGTCCGTCATGATTTCCCCTAGGTAAACAGGGGAAATCAATCGACGAAGTCGTGAAGCTACAAAGACTGAGATGGTTAGGACATGTGTTACGTATGCCAAGCCATCGTCTCCCTCGACGAGCTATGTTAGCGGATATAGGGTCAGACTGGAAAAAAGCTAGCGGCGGTCAAACAAAAACTTGGCATCAGTCAATGAAATCCACAACAGTTGGTCTAAGCCACGTAGAAAGGTGTAGACTTCCAGACTGGGGTCCTCGGGACGGTAAAAATCTATGGTTGGAAACAATTGGTGACATGGCTCAAAACCGTTCTCAGTGGCGCAGATGCATCCACTCCCTGTGACTTATGAACTTCAATGAAACTGTTTTGTTCTTCGTTATTACTCCTCCTTTGTCTCACCCCTCTGCTCACTGTTTCTATTATGCTTTTCTTGTACTTTCTTCTCTTGCTTCGCGTGCTACACGGAGTGTGGCGACTTGAACTTCCGCACATTTGTGCAAAGTTCTATGTCGAAAACAGACAGACAAGTAACAGAACGTGTCGACAATTCAATGCTATAATGCTCACGCCAACCACGTTGGAGGTCAGCAGTTCCATTCTTGAACGACAACACACTTAAACCTCGCCTGTAAGCCTAATAAAGAGGAAAGTTCGGGTGTGAGTATAGCAGTCCCATCCACTATTGCCTGAGACTTCTAAACGCAAGGCTTGAAGCCCTCTGTGTCCACTCGGAACGTAATGGGATGAAATAATAAGGGATAGAACTACTTTGGAAAGGGATAGAAATTCATCAGCTGCCTTGTACACACACACACACACACACACAGCCAAATTATCCAATTTACTGAATCCCCGCCCCCGCGTCTTACCTGTTGTGATGATTTATTCATTGAAGCTTCTACAGTCAGATGAGTTTTTTCGTTACCTGACACAAACAATTCTCGGACCTAGAAAAAAGAGAACAGAAAGGGAAAAAAAGGAACCATCAAGGTATATGTAACAATAGCTGTCAAATGATTACATAATGATAGAGAATAACTACATGTATATAGGATTTAATGATATTAGAAGATTCCCACCCCCAATGTATCAATACGTCCACACCAAAGTGAATGATTTTAAGTCGTCATCTCAATCAATAATTGTCGGTCTCAGCATCTCAAGAACCAGCCCAACCATACAATATATATATATATATATATATATATTGGACCACGTCAACCCCTAACTTAGCGATAGAGACTGAAGTGATAGAACATGTTGACCACTTCACCTATTTGGGAAGTTGTATTAGCACCAACGAACTGATTGGCGATGAAATCTCACCACGGATCCGAAAAGCTCGAGCTGCTTTCGCTGACTTACACCATCTCTGGCGTAGGCATGACATCCGGTTACCAGCCAAGGGACGTGTGTACTGCTCATCAGTTCGCTCCGTCCTTCTCTATGGCTCTGAAACATGGCCAATACGAGTTGAGGACATGAAAAGGTTGACTGTTTTTGATCATAGATGTCTGCGATCTCTGTCTCACGTTAGGTGGTATAATAAGGTAAGTAATGTTGACGTTAGGCGTAGAGTGTTGGGCAAAGAGGGAAAATCAATCGACGAGGCTATAAAGTTACATAGATTGAGATGGCTAGGTCAGTTGCTGCACATGCTTAACCATCGCTCCCCTCCCCGACGGGCATTACTAGCTGATATAGATAGGTGCAGGTTGGAAAAGAGTAAGTGAAGTGGTGGCCAAACAAAAACATGGTATGGCATCAATCCATGAAATCCTTGACAGTTAAACTGAGTCGGTCGGTCAGGTAGGGAGATGCAGACTTCCGGGTTGGGGCCCTCGGGACTGACTCTAAGAATCAATGGCTGGAGACAACAGGTGGTGACATGGCTCAAAATCGTTGTCAATGGCCAGCGGAGATGTATTCAGTCTCTGTAATCTTTCATATTCATTTCATTTCTACCATTACCCATTCTGTTTCACTCTTATACTTGTCAGACTGTATTGATTCTCTTCACTCATCTTCTTGTCTACCTTTGTGTGGTATTTGGAAGGTGGCAACTCGAACTGGTGCACTTCGGTGCCAAGTTCTATGTTGAATCCAGACAGAGACAGACAGATATGGCCTCCTTAGATGACTCAAATCGACAATTAAATACTCCGTGGTGTCGAACCCAAATTTTAGTTTTTAACCATTAAACTAGCTCTTTGTGAAACACAACTCTCAAACATCTTAATCGACTCGTCTAAACAACCTCATTGACTCACAATGTCCCCTTACCTGACACTCGAAGCATAACTTAAATATTAGTCAGCCAGTTATACCTCCTCTTAACACGGCAGATAGAAGGGAGACACCTACGATTAAAGACAAATAGCTAGTATTTTCATGTCTTCCTTATGTCACAAAGCTATAAGGGACGGCACAGGGGAACTGCTGAGCAGTACACACCTCCTCTGATCTATAACACCACCCGGATATCACGACTATGCAAAAGATGACTAACTGACTGGTTTCAACATAGATAGAACTTTGCACCGATGTGCAGCAAGTTTGAGTCGCCACACTTCACTTGCACACGAAACCAGAGAAGAAGAAAATGAAGAGAAACATGAAATAGTGACAGCAAACAGAGATATGAGGCAAAAAGGATAGTAATATCGAAGAACAATATAGTTTTATTGGGTATTATAAGTCACGAGGAGTGGATGCGTTTGCGCCAGGCAATGAGAACAATTTCGAGCTATATCACCGATAATTGTCTCCAGCCTTCATTGGTCTTTACTACCCCGAGGACCCGAACCAGCCAGCTAGAAAGGCTACATCTTCCTACGTGGCCAGCTTAAACTAAATGTTGTAAATTTCATTGACTGATGAAGCAATATTTTGGTTTGACCACCAGCCACTGGTTCTTTTCCAACAACCTGACCCTATGTCAGTTAACATTACCTGTCGTCGAGGAAGGCAACGGCTAGGCCAAGCATGTGTAACACATGCCCTAACTATCTCAGTTGATTTAACTTCACAGCCTCGTCTAGTGATTTCCACTCCTTACCTAACACGGGAGATATAACCCAGGCAGCTAGCCAGGCTTTTCATATCTTCCACTCTCCATGGTCACATCATATCTCCCAGTCACAAAGGAGGACGGAGAGGACTGCTGAGTAGTAACACACGCCCTCTGATCGATAGTCGTCAGAGACAGTGAAAACCGGCATATATGAAACGAGCCCTTTGTATCTGTGGTGAGATTTCGTCAGCGATCAACCCCTGATGGCGTTGACTGATGCAACTTCCTAAATAAGTGAAACAGTCAGCACTCGGTGACTTCAAGCTAAAAGTCGATGTATTCCAGTCCAGCCCAATATTTGAAGATTTCAGAAAACTCTGCACATTATCAGCATCCTGACACCTTCCAAATAATATGAAAGAGACAGAATACAAACATCTATAGGGAAAGACGTGAACCTCATGACACCGTTCCATCGACGATGATGCATGCATTTATACACTGATATTACATAGCAGAGAATACGACGAACAACTGTGAATGTACAAAATCCTTACACGGAGTAGAATATTGCAATGTTCGAAAACATTAAAACACTAGACAGCCACTTAACACAACAGAATCAAAAAGTATACTAACCACCTGTAGGGAAAATAAATTCCTTCCGATTCCACTTTTATAGGTGTGTGTGTGTGCGTGCGTGTATTTCTAAAGATCATCCTCAAATGGTTACGTCATCACATCATTAACCTATGTATAGTGTATAATATTGTCAGTGATCCATCACGTCATCCCACTTAAGCATGATTTTTATAAACACGCAAACTTGCATCCACCCACACACTATTATACTTCCGGACATCGTCTACTTGATAAAAAAATATGGCATTTCTAACAACTAGTAAGAAGACGAAATGATCGAAGGAAAAGTAGGTGTGTTGTAAACAACAGATATGAAGCAGGCGAAGCAATTGTCGAATAAACATTTTCTTATTACCAGACAGACATACAATCTCTCTCTCTCACACACACATACAATGAATGTCAATAACTTCATTTACAGCATTGCCTGTTATTCATTTATTCAGTTATCACCTTTTTTTAAGCGAATAAACTAAATTGAATGATGAAATCAATCATATCCCCCCCAGGCCGATACTTGAAAATTAATCTAGAGCTCACTGGTCACAAATTGACTGACTCTATAGGATGCAGTTGTCTGACATTCTACTGATAAGTCGTGATCAGTGAAGTTCAGTTCACCACGTCGGGTGTACGAAGACAAATAGTAACTGACTGACTGGTTTCAACATAGATAGAACTTTGTGCAGAAGTACACCAGTTTCACTTGCCAGACTCCATGAGCCACACAAAAGAAGACAAGGAAGAAACGACAAAAAGCAAAAAATGTGAGGGAGTAGAAAATTGTAACACAGAAGAACATGGTTATGGGATGTCACAGACACTGAGTACATCTGTGCCAGCCATTTGAGAACTGTTATGAGCCGTATCACTAATTGTCTCTAGTGAATGGGGTTTTAAAATCACGATGATCCTACACCCACCCACCACTCAGCTGTCCAAAATCTCAAGGATAGATTCCAAGTTTCGGTCTGACTGCCACCTGATCGATCCTATGTCACCTAACATTGTCTGTCGTCAAGGAAGACGATGTCTGTTGGGCGTACGTAACACATGCCCCAGTCACCTCGATCGATGTAACTTCACAAATTCATCGATTGGTTTTCTCTCCTCAACTAACACTCGAAGCTTAACCGACTCAGTATTACTCCCGAGCGAAAGCTGCTACCTTGACGTGGTGGTCGGGCTTGAACACTGCAATGACCCAACAAGCTATACTGGCTGAAACTTATGTCTCTTGAGGTCCTACCATGCCAGAAAGGTTGTTTGGATAGCGGTTAAACAAAAAGCAGCTACCCAATCCAATGCCATGACTCAAACAAAATCACAAAATTTCATGCCGGATCGGCCGTGGCCCGGATTAACAACGACCGCGCTTCCTGCTGCCGTGTCACAGGGCAGGAGTGATAAATATGCTACTGAGACACACCAAACAAAAAGAACGAACAAAAACAGGCCGCGTGTGACCGGCCTCAAGCAGTTGTCCCCTGGGCTCTGCGGTCACGCAACCAACTTCCACGGTGTGGGCAGCCGGGAAGTAACAATCGCCCTCACAATCCGAAATGCACACGAAACCTCTCTAATACTCACTCATCTTTGTCTTCATCTTCATCTCTTTGCCTTCCTTCCACTGATGCAACTCCTCGACTTGATAGCTCCTCACTTCCTCTCCACTCTGCGTCCACTAAAAACGATGGAAGCCAAAAAACCACCGACAGCCTCTTAAAGCCGCGCCACCAATTTCATATAGGAGCTCTTAATGTTAGGACACTTTGCCAAATAGGACAACAAGCATCACTAGCCAAGACCCTGGCATCACGAGCCATTGATGTATGCTGTGTTTCAGAAACACGCATACAAGACCCAAGTGTGGTTATTCACCTAACCCCACCTGGCCAACAGGTTGAATCTGCAAAATTCACCTTGAGGGTGTCAGGAGATGCCACAGCTAGTTCACGAGGATTAGCTGGCGTAGGGATAGCTTTGAGTACTAGGGCAGAAAAGACATTGCTTGACTGGATCCCGGTAGATAGCCGAATGTGTGCTGTCCGCCTGAACGGATCAGTAAGAAGGAGGAAGGACTGCACTACTCGCCGATGCCTTTTCGTAATCTCCGCCTACGCCCCCACTGACTGCAGTTCAGATGAAACGAAGGATGAGTTCTACCAAAAGCTGTCTAGTTTGGTGCGAAAGGCTAAACGCTCAGACATAGTCGTTCTAGCTGGTGACTTTAACGCTCAAGTAGGGAAATTGTGTCAATCTGAGAAGGATGTCGGTGGCACCTATGGAGTT